TCAAAGTGCACAGCTAAGCAGTAGGTTAAAAACAGCCAGGTATTGAAGGCAGAGTCCAAATACAGGAAACACTCTCAGAAACGGAGGTTAGGAAATCAGGTGCAGACTGGGCAACAGACATAAGAACATGTAAAGACTGAGTCTGCCTAATATATTCTAGGCATCAGCACAAAAGGGACCTTGGCACTCAGCCAGAGTTTCTGCTAATTTCAACACTGCGCTCCATGGCTGTCTGTGTATCTCTTTCCCCAGTTCATCACTTATTCTTTCCATCAGTTTCCACACCCCTTTTCCTTAACTGCACATAATGCCAAAATAGCATGTTTAATCAGATTGTAGAGTCTTTTTTCACTTTTTTTTTTTTGCGGTCCCAGAGATTGAACTCAGGGCTTTGTGATTGCCAGGCAAGTGCTTATTCTACTGAGCCACCTCCCCAGCCCTTTTTCACATTTTAGTACTTGTGGAATCAAGATACGTCTTGAGATTGATTGTGTGTCCTAGTTCCATAGGCATGATTTTTCTTGGTATATAAAATAACAGTGGTGTTACATTCAGTGGTACCTTAGATTTCATGCAATGCACATGTCCCCTCATTTGAGGCAATATTTTTTAAATTTTTGTGGGCCTGAACTTTATTGAAGTATAATTCACATAAAATAAAACATGCTGATTTTAATGATAAAATTCTATGAGTTTACACAAGTGTGTACAGTCATGTAAGAACCCATAATGATAAAGAACACTTTTCTCACTTCAAAACCTCCCCAGAGCCCTTTTGCAGTCAATCTCTTTTTCCCTACTCTGTAGTCTGGCAAATCATTGATCTACCAACTATAGCTTTACTTTTCTGGAATGTCATATAAATAGAGCCATATATTGTATATACTGTCTTTATGCATGAATTCTTTTCATTCAACATAGTCATCCTGAGATTCACTCCTGTTGATGCTTGTGTTAGTAGTTTATTTGTACTGATGAGTAGTATTTTATTCTATCCATGTACCACATTTTTCTTATCCATTCACTTATGATGAGCATTGTTGGATTTTTCCCAGGTGGGGGAATTTATATTATCATCATCATCATCATCATCATCATCATCATCATCATCATCATCATGTTGCCTTTTTGAGACAGCATCTTACTATGCAGTTCAGGCTGGCCTTGAGCTCACCTCGTAGCCAGGGCTGGTATCGAACTCACAATGATCCTCCTTCCTCAGCCTCCTGAGTACTGGCATAACAGTTGTGCACCACCATGCCCAGTGGGAATTTATAAATAATTTTAAACTGACCTTTTTAAAAGTGGAGAGAAGGCTTGGTGTGGTGGTGCACACCTGTAATCCCAGCACTTGGGAGGCTGAGGCAAGAGGATTGCAGTGAGCTCAAGAGCAGCCTGAGCTACATAGCAAGACCGTCTCTCAAAAAACCAAACAATAAATAAATAAGTGTGGGGAGGGCGGCCGGCCAGATAGCTCAGAAGATGAAAGCACCTGCTTAGGCATGCTCAGGGACCAGGGTTCAAGCCCTAGCATACTGTGCCAGCCCTGCCCCTGGGGTGCGCTGAGACAGTGAATGAGACTGGGCATGGTGATGTGTGGCTGTAATCCAGTGCATGGGAGGCTGAAAACAGGAGGATCACTAAGAGTACGATCTACATAGTAAGACCCTGTACTAAATACATAAAAAAATGTGAAAAATCAAATCGCACAGGAAACACTTGAAAGAATTAAGAACTGGGACCACTTCTTATTAAGAAGTTTTTGCACGTCAAAAGAAATTGCCAACAAAGTGAAAGACAACCCAAAAATTTGGAAAAAATCTTGACAAATAAATACTCAGACAAAGGTCTGCTCTCTAGAATCTATAAAGAACTAAAAAACACTAAGGCCCCAAAATTTAAAGACCCAATCCAGAAATGGGCATCTGACATGAACACACACTTCTCAGGATGAAATTAAAGAAGTGAATAAATATATGAAAAAATGCTCCACATCACTAGCCATCCATGAAATGCAAATTAAAACATTGATATATCATCTCACCCCAGAAAAATGGCTATCATAAAACCAACAACAAATGTTGGAGAGGCTGTGGGGAAAAAGGAACCCTTCTCCACTGCTGGTGGGAATGTAGACTGGTGCAACCATTATGGAAA